GTGAGAGCTTCTTTTCCCACCACTGTATCCATCACAGGAAGTCAGTGTGACATTTCACCTCTGCCTTGCTTCTTTGGCTCTGGATTCTAGAATCTGTCTAGGACAGCGTGCAGGGAGAGGGGCAGCGGGACTGGACAGAGCTGAAGCCCTGTTGGCCTATTCTGCTGTGTCATACTGGTCACTCACAGGCCCTGCTGACACTTGGCTGACTCTGCACCCAGGAGAGGATGTCTTTGACCTGCTTTTGGAGGGTAGGGGAAGGAAGCAGGAGGCAAACAGAAGGGCTGTGTCTCTCCGGATTCCTGCAGTCTTCCCCAAGGACAGGGAGCCAGTTATAAATAGCTGGTTGATGATGTTTTCCCTGGGGATCATCCTGTCCTTGAATAAGAAGGGACAATGAGCTGAGTGTGTTAACATTTGAGCTGAGATGCTATTTTATTCAAGCTTCTTTTCCTATGTATCAGTCTTCTCTTTGGATCGCCATCTCTCTAACTGATCTGTGTAAGATGCTGCCTAGGGAAACTGAGGTAGGGTGTGTCTGCTGTCCCCTTGGTGGGAATCAGCAAGGTCTGGTTTGTCTGGGAACAGGACTTGCACTCTTAGCCTTCTCTGTAACTTAAGAGAGCCTGAGAGTCACTTTGTGCTGAAGGATTCCTGCTCCTGTCTTGTAAGAACACAAAGGCTGAGAGGCCATAAAATGCTCAGTCATAGGCACAAAGTGTGTGACTTGGAGCGCAGAGCACCCTGAAGCCAATGGCCCAGGTGCTGCTGTCCTTGGGGGCTCCGAGGGCTCAAAGGAAAAGGGAGCCTGCATAGGTGGAAACCCTGCAGGTCTCTTCCCAGCACTGCAGGTTGCAAAGCTGTCATGGTCCTGGGGCTGACCTGTGGGTGGCCTTGACTCCCCGACACAATGTCATAGCCACATCCTTCATGAAGATGCTTTTGGTTGTTTGAGGCAAGGACTCTCTCTCTAGCTCTCAGACAGGCCCTGAACTTCTGGGTTCAAACAGTTCTCCTGCCTCAGTTCTCCAAATAGCTAGGTCTATGGTGTGTGCCACCAGGCCCAACTTCATCCATTGATTCAAGGTAACTGACCTGAACTATGGGCTGAGAAGCACTCTAG